TTTCTTCCCTCACATTTTATAAAATGATTTTTTCATTCCTCACATTTCACAAAATGAATTTCTCCATCCCTCACATTTCAAAAAATGAATATTTCCATCCCTCACTAATTATGTGTGTGAGGGAAACCCTAAAAAAAAAAACATGTGTGTGAATACATTTTGTTTAAACACATGTATATGTCTATTTGATTTTGCTTAATAATACGAATAGCATAAATATATGTATGTGTCTATTTGATTTCACTTAACAATACGAATACCATATATTATACGTGATCATTTGATTTCATCTGGTATTAGCTAGTAAAAAATCTTGCATTCATTGTCAAGTTGTCCAATAAAGCTATTTTCGGTCAAAATACAATAAGAATATGCAAATTAAGGTTCTATTGATAAATATTAGTCATAATCATACAAAAATAGAAGATAGCCCACAAGTTGGGCCCAATTACATATATGTGTTTATGCTATTATTATTAAGCAAAATCAAATAGACATATACATGTGTTTAAAAAAATGTATTCACACATAATTAGTGAGAAATGAAAAATTCATTTTTTGAAATGTGAGGGATGGAGAAATTCATTTTGTGAAATGTGAGGGATGAAAAAAATCATTTTATAAAATGTGAGGGACGAAAAAATTTATTTTATAAAATGTGGAGGACTATAGATCAGATTATGTAAAATATAATTTGACAAATTTACCCTTAAAAAATGATCACGTGCCTTGCACATGATAGATTCTGGCAAAAAAATGATAGGAAACGTAGTTATGGACTAAATTTGACCGATGTAAATATGCAAGGGATATAAAATTACACTTTTAAAAGTGAGGGACGAAAAAAGTTATTTTACAAAATGTTAGAGACATTTTGGACGATTTTCCCTGTTGAATACTTCAAGTTTAAAAATGAAGGCTAACAAGATACCAAGGTATTTATTGGTTTCAGCAACTTAATGTGGGACAAAAACTAGGTAAGCTTAATCTAGACACGGTTATATAGATTTCACATCCAAATAGAAATCTTTTTATAGAAACGGAATTTGTTTTATCAAAGTACACCTAATGTGCCTCATTTCCCATTTTGGCGCGTTGTACTTTTATTAAGTTCGAGACTTTGTCAAAGTATTTAACTCTGTCAACTTTGAAAGTGGTCAAACCCGTTGGATTGGGATTCGATCCCAATCCAATTCCTGGGTACGAATCGGTTGCACTTCGTGTACCCAAGGAGTGTTAAATACTATCATGGTAATTGGCAAGTAAAGGCCTAAAGGGTCTAGAGAAGAGTGAAGATATAGCATCAATAACATTAAAACAGTCAAGGTTATATAGATGATTCAATACTCATGGCCAAAAGCTCCTTTTTTTGGGAAAAAAAAAATTAAATCGGAGAGGGGTGAGATTTGAAAAACGGGAAAGGAGAAGGGTGATTTGAATCCAATACTTCTAATTTTTGGGGCTTTAAACTTAAAAGCTCCTTGTACTAATGACAACTGGGATCTGATTTTGGAATGTGGAATGGATAGATCTTATATGCTGAGTTCATACTGCTTAAGTTTTTCTAGCTTTTTGTTTTGTGCTTTTGTATTGTGATGTATTGGTGGCTTGTTCACTAATGTACCTATAGGTCCTCTGATGTAAACGCTCATCTTGCTCATCAATAAAACTTCATCTTTGCCCACAGAAAAAGAAAAAGCGGGTTTGGTGTGGGGGGGGGGGTGGTAAGTTGTTGTTTTTTCATGAAATTATAGGCAATTCCGCAAGTGAATGGACACATTTCTTTATCAAGATACACATAAATGTTAGGACTAATTCCATTTTGTACTCCTAAACTTATATCATTTTTTTACTTTGCATCCTAAATTCAATTTCGAATACCTTGCACGATAAACTCTTAATTTTGGAAAATTTATAACCTATACTCTCAAGTTTGTCTAATTTAAGTCCAATCAGTAGCTATGTTCGCAAAATTAATGAGCAAAAAGTCGATCCATTAACGTTTTTGACCACTGCTAGTACATTATCATTGATTTATAAGGTCACAATTACTAATATTATTAGCAAATTAATGAGGTAAAAACTAGTGCAAATTAATGACAATGTATTTTTTTGTTATGACATCTTGGTACATTTTGAGTACTGTCAATACATTATTATTGATTTGTTGGCTCCTCTATGCCATTAATTTTGCTAAAATTGTCATTGATTAGATTTAAATAAGACAAATTTGAGAGTTTATGATGCAATGTGTTTAAAATTAAGAATTTAAGGTGTAAAGGATTTAAAACTAAAGTTTACAGTGCAAAATATAAAAGTAAAACAAGTTGAGGAGTGCAAAGTGGAGTTTGTCCTAAATGTTAACATATCTACCGCCCTTCACGTATCTATTTAAATTTCCAATCGGTCAAGCCCTGATTTAGTGGTGGAACCAGGACCCAAAGATTAAGGAGTGCAACTTGAGTTTGCGAACACTAGGCGTTTGGTAACTGCATGTCTGTGATAAATGGAAAGGATACAATTTTTATTGTCAATGAAGTTAACCTAAGATGAATTTTTAATAAGATAGAGGTAAATGCTAGGGTTACGAAGAAAACATTTGTATATTAGGGGGTGCAATCTAAGAGGAGAAGGAACAATTTGATGAAATGCTTCCCCCTGCACAATTCCATCCACAAACACCTTTTTTTTTTTTGGGGGGGAGGCATCCGTAAGAACTTGCTTCAACTATACTTATAGTGACATATCAGCATTCCCATAAGAACTTACAATCCCATGAATTTGTCTACTTTAATTCAATTGGGTTCCTATTTCAGGAAAGAACCAGATTCAGACTCGGTCAAGATTCAAGAAAGTCGGTTCATAAATAAATGGCCAATCGTCTTGATGCACTTAGTCATAGGCACAAGGGACACCAATTATTTTACAGAAAACAAGAGAACAGTTTTTCGACTTTAGTGTTGCTCCGACCATAGTAGAATTATCTTCTGGAAGATTATTGTGTATAAAGTCAAGGAAAAGATATGAAGATCTGGTTCTGAGTAAATATTGGGCACATTTCAATCAATTGATTTAGTAGACGTGGCAAGTTGCTAATCAAGCAATTCCAAATTTTAATGCTCTAGTAATATTGTTGAAGATGAAGAAACCTTGGGCTGTGGTGGACCTAAGCCCTTTGTAACCATGAAATAATCGACCTATATTAAATAAATCTTTAATTTTGGACAATTAAAAGAAGATAGTGGTTGAAGTCAACTGAGCCAAGATATGGATTAACGTTTTTCAACCCTTTCAAAGTCGGAGATATGGATTAACGTGCCATTTACCATTAGAACCTTTAATTTTATTCTTCCTGTACATTAGCATGAATGATGCAATTTGTATGACGAAGAACCTAAATTGGCCACAAATATCTGAAATAAAATAGTGACAGTCATTTAATTAAACTAGTGTACATGGTGCGATTGCACCTTGGAACGGCTGAAAAAACAATCAATTTAGAAATCAGAGAATTGAAGAAATTTATTAAACTGAAAATAAATTGGCCCATTTTCTGGCACACTCAAAAATCAGACTCTGAATTCTCAATTGCATTTGCTGGCGAATGTACTCCTCACATTTAGACACTCTCCCAAATCAACTTTTATAAGAAATTAATGACAGAGAAATTTTTTTTAATGAACACCCATTAACCTCTAGTTTAAAGCTACTAACAAGTTTCCCATTTTAAAAGAACTTATCCCCACAATACAACGCCAGATATGGCAACTTCAGTAATGCCAAAAGACTAGCCATGTTTTCAGAATAATAATATGTTCCTGCCAAAGCAAATTTTGCTCAAACACCAAGGCTACTCTCAATCAGTCAATTTTATATATTTTTCTTATTTTTTTTAGATCCATTAAGTTACTCCTCTTCTTCTCTCTCCAAATAAAGTTGATTGATTGAGTCAAATACGCTCTAAAATAAAGTTAATTACTCCTCTTCTGAACATTTGAGTAAAATACGCTCTCACAGGAAGATAATTGCTCTGACAATATGGCTTGCCATCCAAAATGCAATTGACATAAGGGCACCCAACAATAGAATAGGCCTAAGTATGGCAAGTGTTTAGTAGAAGTTGAAATCTTTTCCGACTTTTAAGGCCTTGGACCATTTGTAGATAATATGAACATTGATATCTTATCCAGAATGGGTTAATCCCAATCTAATGTGCTACATGCACAGCAAATGTATCGAGCCTTTGCTCGGGTGTGAATACCGTTTGGTCAAGTAATATGTATTCCTATCGTTTCGAAAAAGAAAAAAAAAAGATATCTTATCCAGACTGTTGGTCAGGTATTGTCATTGTCGGTAATGGATACCAGTATTTTTTATTGTGTCTAGGTGGCACCATGTTTTGAAGATTTTTCACGACCAAATAGGGATATTGTTATTCTTCACTTAGAAGCGTGAAATGGATCAGCGAAGTATAACAAACAGTGTCTATTTAGAACTCTAATTTGTATGTGCTCACAACACTAGAAAGCAGTGGCCGGGTACATAACAACGAGATTTTTTTTGTAGCATTTCGTGAAAAAAAAAATGATTGGGAATAGTGAAATTGAGACAAAGCAATTAAACTACAATCCAATCAAATTATTAGGTGCAATTAATTGCTTCTTTCCTGTTTCAAGAAAGAAGCAGGTTTAGACATAGTCAAGAAAGTTGATTGGAACCACAAATAAATGGGCAATCAACTTGATGCTCTTATCAACGACATAATGAACGATCAATCATTTGACATAAAAAAAAAAAAAAGAGAACGGTTTTGAGATATTAATTTCGCCATCCCTGCTGTTGAAATTCACCCAATTGATGATGAGTAGATAGTATTAAGTAAAAACTAGGGATGGCTGCTTTAACAAAACAAAAAAAAAAAAGATGGCTCTATGCCCATCCGCAACTATAAAAGCACACTGTCTCGGCACTTTCCCATCATACATCTATCTCTTCTTCAGTCTGAATATAATTTCTGCCATTATACACTTGACACTACACCAAAAATGGAACTTTATACAGCCACCAAAGTCATAGTTTTGTGCCTGGTTACTTTAGCTCTTGCTGTCCCAAGTCTGGCCGCAATATACCCCGTTACTTGGACCAAAAGTAATTTAGTAGCTCCAGCAACTCTTCTTCAGTTGTCTAAACTTCACCCTGGCGATACGATCAGTAAGATTCCTATTATTGGGTGTGTTTGATCTTGGTGCTTTTGGGATGTTTAAAAAAAAAAAATTAACTGTAACAACTTTAGTGGTAAATAAAGACTAATACGAAAAAACATTAGAATCCAAATAAAGTAGAATCATTTACTAAACAAATACTAGCTTTTCTTCTTTGTTGTGTCCGTTCAAAATTTTCATTTCATAATGTGTTCTGCACATTTTGGCTAACCCATTACTATTCTTTTTCTGGCAACTTGTGTAGATTTTCTCAACACAGATACTCTTCCGATTTATCAAGTCTCAAAAGCAGCATACGATGGCTGTCTATTTACCAATGATAATATCCTTCTTGGACGCCAGAGGATAACCGTTTTCACTATTCCTGAAGCTGGTGATTTCTACTTAATTTGCGATCCTCTCGATTGTCAAGAGGGCTTGAAACTTGAACTCCATGCTTCTTGAAGAGCACCTGGCACCACTTGAGAAGTTAAGTTTGCATGATCTGTTTCTCTGCATTGTGGGCATCCTGGCCTAGAATTAGTTGTCATGTGTTGCAATTACATAAAAGAAAAAGGAATAAATGCCATATACATATGGCTGCCATGTGGGCTGATATCAACTGATCGAATTTGGTGGTCACCAGTCCCTTATTTCCTCTTGTATTTTTCTTCCCCTCCTTTAGGATTTACGTGATTTGTGTGGTTTTTGTTAGGCCTGTCAATCGGGCGTAATGAGTTGGGTTTTGATGAGCTCAAACTCAACTCATTTAATTTGAATCATTTTCGGGCTCGGACTATGAGTTTCGGGTTCGTAAATGTAAAGCTCATACTCAGCTCACATAATATTCGAGTTGTGAGTCTTAATCGGGCTTAGCCCAAGCTCACTTATTACTCCTTAATTTTCTTAATATAATTACTATAACTATTAAGTTGTAAAACTAATTTAACATTTACAAGACTATAATATTAAAACTAAACATGAACAAATAATAGTTCTTAAAACGTATATAAACCAAAAATTTTTCAATAATATTTATATTTAATCCATTCAAAATGCATGAAAAATAGTAATAAAACATGCGATCATAAGCCAATACATCTTTAAAAGTTAAAATTTTTTTTATAATCTTGTGATTTAAATCCAAATATGCTTGATGATTTTTGTGTTTGAAGACAAAAAAAAAAATCCACCAATATTATGCCAATACAAAAATTTACTCAACTAATAAGAAAAATCAGAGATTTAGTTATGCATTATCAATATTGGCTCTCAAGAAAGCTCATGAAAGAGTTTTTAGATGTATTTTTGTGTTTTGTAATTTATGTATATATTTAGTATTTAGTAATAATATATTTGGATATATAATTATACATAATATCAAAATATAAATATTATATATATAGGTAATTAAAGGGCCGGGCCTATATCGGATTTGAGCCTAATAAGGCCCAAGCTCGGCTCACATTTAATTCGGGTCTAATTTTTAGGCTTAGACTCAGACCGGCTCACTAAATGATCGGGCTCATCGGGCTTTTTGTCAGGCTGAACGAGCCGAGCTCGGGCTGGCCCAACCCGATTGACAGTCCTACTTTTTGTAAGAGATCAGTAGAGATAATAATAAAGTGATCATTTCACAGGTTTTCTTTTATCTTACTCGACTGTCCTTTATTATCATTTTGCATGTGGTGATACAGATTTTACAAGCTATATTCATCGACTTTGTGCACAATTCTTTTTTCTTAGCCCTAAACACAAAAGAAATAAAAAAGAGAAATGACATCTAGTGATTTTTCATCCCTGGAATAATTGTTTGAACCTAGGAATTGCATAAAAATGAAAGCTTAATGCCCAAACCATTGTTCCAATCGGGCAATTAAACAACGTGTGCACAAGGTCTTCCCCTTGAGCTCTACAGAGTGGACAAACATCTATCTGGACTCATCTTTGGCGATACCGTGAGCTGGTTGGCAGAAGTATCCTTGTAAGCTCTCCAAAGCTTGGTTATGCCAAAACATCAAAACATGAGGAATTTTAATAAAGTTGTCTTTTTGTTTGAAAATTAGGCAAAATGACATTGGATTCATTGAACTTTATTACTTTGTTGCAAGTAAATTTTTTTTAAAAAAAATGTCTAACAGATGAGATGAGGGGTGGGATTTTAGAAAAGAGGAGGAGGAAGGGCAACTTGAATTCAGGACCTCTATGTCATGACAAGTAAATTTCAGTAATAGCAAATTCATATGTAAGCCCAAAAATGTCTGGCTAACTAGTTCCAATGAATTCTATATTGACCATGCCGGCCCATAAGGTTTTAAGATTTGTGCACACTAATGAAGTTTTGGTCTAATGGTAAAAGTAACGAGATGAGATGAATTTCAATAATTGTGAGTTTGTTCTCATTTGGATGTTAGTTTTCATTTGCTACTTGTAAGATATTAGTTATTATATTATTTAATTTTTTTAGTTATAACTATTCCATTATTATGAGTTAATTATAATCATATAATAAAACAGTTTGTGTAAGTGGTCTTTCTATAATAGTTAAACAAAACGATAAGAAGGGAGGAGCAATGAATTGGGTGATATCGGGGGAGAGAGTGTAAATGGGAGGTTCGAACAAAAAAAGTCAATAGAAAGAAGAAAACCATGCCCAGTTGATGTTATATGTCATATTAGGGGGGAGTGCCTGCGGTTAAAAAGGATTTTACAATAGTTCAATCAAATATCAAAAAATTCACACATATTAAGTAACAATATGGGGTAGCAACATTATTGCTAGAGTTGTCAAAAACTCAACATCTCACTTGCAATTGAAGCACTATTATTCAAGTGATTGAAAAACAAAAACCATGACACTCAGAATATGAAAAATGCTGTAAAAAATTACTTTTTTTGTCAATAGTTAGGTAATGTACAAAAATCGCAATCATACAAAATAAACTCTATCTTTTCTTACTCCTACTTCGATTACTATTAACACAATCCTTGACATGTATCATTTTAACATATACATTTATATGCTTATTCCTTGTTTCGCATTTTCAAACAAATGCTTTATATTATTTTTAAGAAAAAACAAAGGTTCTAACATAGTGAAAAAAATATCTTAATTTATACAAGTAACTAACTTGAATTTGTGATAATTTGTAAAATATATATATGCTTCTAACAAGTAGGATAAATCACAAAAAAAATGTATCAATTTGCTCCTTTTTCTTGCAGTTGCTCCAAATCTATTATATCATAAGCACACCAGTCAAATTACACAGACCAACTAAATTTGTGCAAAAATCATAATATTGCAACTAAATTACGCAGTCAAAGTTTCAAATTTTGCGATGGAAGCAGACACTCGACATTACACACCACAAAAACCACCCACATAAACAATAAAATTAAACAACAAAACTCACCTCAAGTTGAACCACCAGGAATAGCTTCGACTGAAGACCATTCTGGAATGTTGAGTATAAAGGTAACAAAAATAGCTCAATCCTGGAAGTCAAAGAGAAAAAAACTAAAGAATGTGAAGGATGAGGCATTAAAACAACCATAACCGATGCTTAGGCATAAATTCATTAACATACCCACGTTTTTGTTAGTTCAATTGAGATGTAAATGGCAAAGGCAATTGACTATGTTTCAAGCAATTGAATATCCTCAAACGACTAGTTAACAGTAACGTGTTTTCATTTCAATTGCACAATAAATACCACACTTCAAGTAAATGTGTTTATAACACCATTTTAGTAATTACACTAACACATAAATTTATATGAGTTGTACCCAATGCAAAAGCGATTACAAAATAATCTCATATTCAAAAAATATCTGATGTCTCCAAAAATAAATGATTTAAATGTACAAACATGAGAGCATTTCCATATACACACCCAAACACATGCTATCACCAGTTGTACTAAAAGCTTTAAAAAAACTCCACATCATTCCACATTTTCAAAATGCCTCTATCCATGTGGTCAAAGTTCAAAACTCCTTTTTGAGCACGACTCATTCGTATATAGTAGAAAGGTGTTATTATTTTTTTTTATCTGACTTTCTCGATTGTGGAAAAGGGTCGAAACTTCATGTACATGCTTCTTGAGGAGCTTCTAGCACCATTGTTGGGGTTGATTTCGTGGCATCAATTTGCATGATCAGTTTCTCCGCATTGTGGCCTCCTTATCGGTGTTCAGTAGTAACAATTGTGTTAGGTTCATGAGTAAAGGGCTATGTCCCACATTGGTCCGAAAGATGGAGAAAGAGCAGTTAATATGTAAGTAAGGGCCCAAGACCTAATAGCTTAAGCTTTTGGGTCAGCGTTGCGTTCCTGACTTACATATTGGGTTCTTTGGTGAACTCTCTCAAGGTGTTTCTCCTAGGTGTGGCAATCGGGTCGGGTTCGGGTTGCGGGTCGGGTTGAGGCCCAAGTATAACAAAAAAACCCGCTGACCCGAACCTGACCAGCGGATACCTGACGCGAACCCGAAAATTTCGGGTTGGCGGGTCGACCCGCAATGACCCAAAACTTAATTTTAATTTATTAATTTATCACTGTAATTTCTAATAAAATCAATTTCTCACAAAATTAATTACATCATCAAGTAATAAAAATTTAAATAAATAATTTCAAACGAAATCTAAAATAAATTAAACACCGTAAAAGTGTTTTATCCCAAACTAAATATAAAATAAATTAAAATAGCATAAAAGTAAAAAATAATATAATATATTATTTGTCCAAATATAATAATTTCAACTTCACACAAGTTAAATAAATTCATTTAAGATTAAGTAATTAATGATTTAATGCCTTTCAAAAAAAAGAATGATTTAGTTTAGTTAGATCAAATAATTTTAATGTGTATTAAATTATTTTTAATTTGTAAACGGGTCATATCGGGTCATCACGAGTTGACCCGAAATCGACCTGTTTTCTTTTCGGGTTCATCGGGTTCGACCCGATTCTGACCCGAACCCCCGAATCTCAACCCAAATCCATTAATTTCGTGTTAGGTTCGTGTCGTGTTTTCGGGTCATGTCAGGAATTGCCACCCCTAGTTTCTCCCTAACAAATTGTATCAGAGCTTCAAGTTACGAGGCTAAGTTACTCATGGGCAAGTGGATTCTTCTCGGAGTTGGACCGGTGAAAATTCTCTTCTTGATGGTGGATCGAAGTGCCAAAGTACTAAGGAGTTTGGCTAGTGTTGAACCAGGTGTGCCATGGGTTTGGCAGGGGATCCGGTTGGGATTAAACCAAGGAGCCAAGGGTTGGCAAGGATCCAGAATATAGTTTGGATGTTGAAGAAGAGTGGGTCCATGATTGGGAGAAGAGATGACCTTAGGTGATAAGGTGGACTTGTATTGAGTATTAAAGTGGGATCGAAGAAGAGCTTGTAAATTTGGGTTTAATGTGGGGGTTACTCATGAAGGGGAAGATTTGTTAGGTTCATGAGTAAAGGGTTATGTCCCACATTGGTCCGAAAGATAGAGAAAGAGCGGTTAATATATAAGTAAGGGCCCAAGACCTAATAGTTTAAACTTTTGGGTCAGAGTTGGGTTTCTAATTTACATATTGGACTATTTGGTGAACTCTCTCAAGGTGTTTCTCCCTAACAATTGCAACAACATATTTGTATAAAATTAAAATCCAATCATAATTGCTCCATATATGGATAGCCATAAGTGCTGATCTCAATTTGGCTTGGGTGTTATTTGTCCTTTTTTTTAATTATTTTTATACATTTCCTCGTCTGGCTTGTTCCTTCAATTCTACAATTTTGCTAGTTTTTATTGTCACTCTAAAATTTGAGTTCTACGTCTTTGGT